TTTAGGTTTGGTCAATATTTCAAGCCAACCAAAATCTGGATACCGGAATCTGGAAGTACTGGACAAAGTTCAAGTGGTTTCTGTTAACAATCAATACATTATATTTGGTGAAATGTACTGTATTAAGGAGGCAGTATCTGTTCTACGTAAACAAAATGGATGAACCGATTTTTTAAAATTAAAATTAAGACAAACAACATCAATGACCTAACATGCAATTGCTATTTGTCACTAATCATAATAGTCAGCACCTGTACAGCACTTTAAGGGTTGAAAAGTGCTATGTTTATTTTATCTCACTTGATCCTCACAATAACCCTTGGAGGTAGGCACAATTATGCTCATTTTACAGATGAGGAAACTGAGACAGAGAGTGGTTTGAACTCAAGTCTTCCTGCCTCCAAGTCTAGCACTCTTACCCATTGTCACCTAGCAACCTCCATTATGGCATCAGGAGACACAGCTCCGGAGGCCAGCTCTAAAAACTGAAATGTTCTATGTGGGTGTATACGCACGTATGTAGTGTTGACACAGAGGGATCAGGTACGAGCGTGAGTCTGGGAAATCATTACTGTTCCCTAACAGAAAAACAAGGCAAAGGCACATGTTTCCCACTGATAGCCAACAATGTCATCTTTATGTACAAAAGGCAGCAGGTTTTATTTTTTGGCACAAACATCCAAATTTGTTCGCCTTTTTAATGCAAAACTTGTTTTTGAGGTAACTTGAACCAGGTCTGTACCACTTAAAATCTTCCTCTTCCTGCAAGGTTTAAGTCAGGTGCTGCCTTATCAGCTGAGCCTTCCCAGGACCTCCTCCCCCATAGCTATTTGCTTTCTCATTTTCTTCTATCTTCAGTATACTATGTTTTAGTATCATCATTGTCTTTCTACATTTCACCTCAGTAGAAGGGAAGCTCCTTGAGGTCAGTGTGTATTTCACTTTTGTCTTCGATTCTCCAAAACTTAACACAAAGCTTCACATGTAGCAGAAGTTAATTAAATAATTTTTAATTGAGTTATAAGGGAAAACGGGGGGGGGGGGGGAAGGTACGTAACTGAACCATCAGGTTCCAAGGGAGGGTACAGAACTCACTCTACCAAGACACATTAACCCTTGTTTAGCAATTTATAGCCTTGGAAATCTACCTGGGGCATAGAGACCTTAAGTGACCTGACCAGGATCATACAGGCAAAGTGTCTCCAAGGTGGAAATTGAACCCAGGTCTTCCTGACTCCAAGGCAACAGGATCCTGACTGTCCTGGGAGAACACTTAGACTTTCTCAGTTCCCATAAATTGTATCTGGCAAACAGATCCCAGGAGGAGTAACAACAGTAACAGTATCATACAGTGAATTACAGTTTGTTTTCTTGAGCAATTTTAATAGCTTTCTAGGCATTTATAGATGTCTGTTTGGCTAAATAATTATATGACCCTATAAAGAATAAGGCCAGTAAATCACAAGGTGTTAAATCCACTTGGGATAGCATCATATGCAGTAAACATGAAGACATGTCCTCTGATTCCTGCTTAGCACTCCCTTTGCCCCCCCCAAAAAAACATCATTTCAAACAGCATTAAGCAACCGCTTGTTAGAACTGTTATTTCTAAATGTATCATCCCTAGAGAACCAGCTTCCATTTCCTTGCATCTCAGATCTTAATATCCACCAGCTCAAATTTTTGATTTCATTCACATTACTGAATACCAAACAAACTTTTTTTTTAATCTCTAAGAATTGAAACTGAATATAGGCTGCCTATTGCTAGCTTTGGTATCTCCATGAAGCCCGGAAATTCTTGCAACTGAAAACCTGCTTTGCTCTCAACCTCAAACACTCTAGCAACGCTGGACTGCAGCACCCCCAGAGGCAGCCAGAGAAACCTGATTAGCAACTGATTTAGCAACCCCTGTGCACAGTATTCTCTTTTTCTTAAGAGTGCTGTTTTCCTTTAAGACGCATGCTACAACCACATCATATCCCCTTGTTATCAGAATGAGGCATCTGCAACTCCTGAAAAAGTGTGCTTGTCAGAGCTGAGCGAACGGTGAGGTTACCAGCAAAATGTCCTCTACTGCCCACAAATGGTGTACCCTGGATGCTGACTGTACAATTCATAGTAAGTCTGGAGATAACATGAACATTTTAAGAGTCAAAAGCATTTCATGTACATGGAACAAATGAAAATATACTCTGATGGCTGTAAGCAAGGTGGCCCACTAAGAGCCGATCTGCACAATCAGACAAGTAATTTAATAACAGCTTATTTCGAGAAATGGCCCATTTATGATTCCCTAAAAGCGAACAGATTCTAAATGACTGTATGAATCGTTCTGGGAAACGCAGATCACAGATGACTTAGAGCTGGAAGTGACCTCAGCCATCACCCAACCTAACCTGCGTAGAGGCCCATAGAGATACAGGGATTTGAACAAGGTCAGACAGGTAGGAAGTAGGAAGACCACATGTCAAAGGCTGGGCCTCTCTGACTGCAGATTCAGGCTACCTCTTCAAAGAAAGGGTAGGGCCAGCTAAGTGGCACAGTAGACAGAGCCCTGGCCTTAGGGTCAGGAGCACCTGAGTTCAAATCTGGCCTCAGACACATGACACTTAACTAGCTGTGTGGCCTTGGGCAAGTCACTTAACCCAGATTGCCTCACACACACACAAAAAGCAAGGGTGTTTCTTTGTGTCTGGTTTTCTACTTTTTTAAAATAAATATATAGAATTTAGGCTATGAACATGCTGCTTCTGGTCCTTAAGGAAGAGGACTGTGCCTCAACTATCCATGTAAATAGTTCTCTGTTTGCAGGAATATAGTCTATTGCACTGTGGAGTAAGGGAGGGAAAGTTGTTCCAGAAGTTAAAAAGATCTAGATTCAAGTCCCACTTCTGAAACATAACTTAACTGTGTGACCCTGGGTAAGTCATTTCATCTCAGTGCTCTCCCTGAGTCTATAAATTACTGAGCAGGAGTCCATCTGCATTAGTAAAGGGAGTTTCTTCACCCACAATTCCCTACACCAATGAAAAATCACCTGTTCTGACCCCCCCAAAAAAGTGCCTTTCTTACATTACCTATCTATAACTTCTTTTAAAGTCAAAATGAAAGTGAGCTTTTTCTCAGTGATATAAGACATAGAATAAAGTCACCTGACTTCAAGTTTTGTTACCTAACCATTATTCAACTGCCTTCTCTCTTCTAAAGGAATTGAAAGTTTTCCTCCTTCGACCAGGAAGGGTTTCAAATGCTCTTTAGGATTTCAGTAACTTAATTCCTACATCAATCACTCCACATGCATTTATTAAATGCTTACTTACTATGTGCCAGGCACTCCGGACCACAAATCCCAGAAATAGAAAGTGAAGAGAGTGCATTCAACAGAACGTGAGGTTCGGAGGAGCAAAGACTTCCTTTCACTTGCCTCTGTAGCCACTCCCTCCCAGGGGATTAAATGCTGTCTCAGACCCTGTCTAGAAGTGTGACCTTGGGTAAGTCGCTTCACGCTGCTTGCCTCAGTTTCTTCAACTGAAAAAATGGAGATAATAATAGCACCTACCTCCCAGGGTTGTTGTGAGAGTCAGATTAGATATTTGTAAAGCACAGCGTCTGGCACACAGTAGGTGCTTAATAATCGTATATTTCCTTCCTTGTTGAATTGAACGGAATCGAATTGCAAACGTCTTGGGAGATGACAATTTCATTCACTTTATGGGGAACAGGATGGCCTTGCACACTATGGACACTTAATAATTGCTTGTCAAATTGAACTGAAATGAGCCTGGTGCTTATGTGAAGAACTTAGAGATGAAAACCACCAGCAATGTTCCAACTATGTGCATTCCCGGTGCCCCTCGAGGACCGTTTCACTCAACAAACCTGTCTTGAGCTAGACGGAGGGCCCATGGAAAGAACGGAAGTGGGCAGGCACAAGTCTGATAAGCAACTGACGAGGGGCAGAATTGTCGTGCTTTGCACCAGAACAGCGGGGCATTCTACTGTGCAGATTGCCCTGAAGGAGAATGGATCCCCTCGTGATGGCCACTGCAGCTGCCAGTTTGCCAGGTTTGTCTCGGCCACTGCCTTCTTTTGATAACTGTTAGTAAGAGCTGGCAGAAGTCGAGCAAAATACACATGGGAGGAAACCCCACACAGACTTTTCTTGCAACACACTTCGCCCGGTGCCTGAAGAAGAGCTAAGTTTTGGTTGGCCAAGAGAAACCCTCGTTAAACCTCTGCCTCCCGCTACCAAAAGCTCGCAAATAGATGTGGACGTTTTACTTCCAGAGAAATTGCCTGACTCACCCCCTGCCTTCATCTCGCCAGGGAGCGAAGTGAATGTTCGTTCAGTCCCTGGAGGTAGATGGCTGGGAGATTCCCGAAGGCCTCCATGAGAACGGATTGGTCGGTGGCATGCACCCCCAAACAACGGGGAAGGTGCTCAAAACCAGCCGACCCCAGCCTCCTCTGGAGCTGCCCCCACAGACAGGTTCGCTGGGCACTCAGGGACTGGGACAGCTGCCTCGGATCATTAGGGGGGCATTGAAACAGACAGGCAAGAGGACCACCCACCCATTGGCTCTCCCCTCCCACCTTCTACCCATTAAAAAAAGAAAAGTAATCCGCCCCCAGTTTGCCCCAACCAAATTGACTCTCACTGCCCCCCCGCCCGCCCCCAACCCCAGGAGCGGATGGTTCTGGTCATCTCCAAAGAGAAGCCCAGCCGTCCTGCCGTCCTGCTGGGCTCTGAGGCTGGAGACGGGACCCCTTTCCGGGAGGCTGCGGCTGCTGCTGCTGCTACCGCCCAGTCCGCGCCCTTCCTGGCTAGCCCCGTTCCCCGGACAGCCAGCCTGCAGCTCCCTCCACGAGTCCTCCCGCTCTGCCCCGGTCCGGGCCCCGGCCCCGGCCCGGCCCCCGCCCGCCGCCCCAGCGCCTGCCCCGCACCGCACGGAACGCACTGCTCGCCGCCTCCTCCGGCGGGCTCCCCGGGCACTCACCTCCTGGGATCGGGCTTCCGTCGCTCCTCCAGCTTGGCGGCGAAGTCGGGGGCTGCCGGGGCAGCCGCTGCTCGTGGTTCCGGGGTGTACGGGGGGGCAGAGCCGGGAGCCCCCCGGCGTGGGCGCCGCGCGGTGTGGCCGGAGGGAGCTTCGGAGGGAGCTGCGGGAAGTTTTCAACCTGCGGGGGCGGTGCTCGGTGCTACTCCACTAGCCTCCCGCGGGCAGCCACGCAGTGCAGAGCCCGGCGAGCCCAGGCAGAGGGCGGGCGGGAGGCCACAACTTCTGGGAGAAGAGGGTGAGGGCCGAGGGCACGGCCCGGGCCGGGGAACGGACTCCTCCGCGCCTGGCACGGCTGGAAGCCCGGGAGCGGGCGGTGGGAGATGGCCCCGCCACTGGCCAGCAGGGATCGAGCGAGCGCGCGTGTGTGCCCGTGTGTGTGTGAGGGGGAGGGGGAGAGGGATTGTGTTTGTGTGTATGTGTGTGTGTGTGTGTGTGTGTGTGTGTGTGTGTGCGTGTGCGTGTCTTCTCTACGTTTCCTTCTGCAGCGTCTGCCTATGTATTGGGATCACCGATATGACTGCCAATAACTAATCATACTGCAGTGGTGCCTGGCCAGGGGCACGGCCTGGGGCGCGCGTGGCTTGGCGTGGAGTGTCGTGGAAAGCAGAGGCTGCCGCTGCTGCCGCTGCTGCTGCTACTGCTGCCGCCACCGCCGCTGCTGCCGCTACCGCCGCCGCCACCGCCGCTGCCGCCGCCTTTGGGGAGTGCAAGGCTGCGATCCATATTTAAGGCAGTGAGTAGCCTCGGCTGTCCTCCGACCGGACTCGGCCCGGCCCTCCCCTCTGCTCCCCACCCCACCCCACTCCCCCAACACCCCACCCCTCTCTCCTATTGCTGCTCTCCGGGCGTCACTAGAGCTCAAGGCTTCCAGGGCACTGGGGGAGGGGCCTTGCCGGCCGCCGGAGGCTGTGGCTCACCTCGCCTGCAAGCTTTGTAACTTCTGCTCAGTTTGGCGGAGAGGGGAAGGCGGCGGCCGCGGCTGCTGCTGCTGAGGTTTGCAGCTAGGGTTCCTGCCTCCTTCTCCCAGCCGCGCTGCTGCCTTTTCCTCCTTGGGATCATACTCCAGAGTTGGAAGGGTCCTCAGTATTCACCTAGACCAATCCCAGCATTTCACAGGTGAGGACAGTGGGATGGAATGTGAACCTATGGACTCCAGATGGACTTAAGCAGAGCCCCCTCCGCACGCTGCCTCTTCGCTTTCCCTACAATCCATGGTCTTTTAGTCTTTCCCTAAGAGCGCGCCTGTCTCCTTGGTTCTTTTGACAGCTACCTCGAGGTGAAGGGCTCCTTTGCCTCTGCTGACCTGAGGCTGGCTGCTCTCTGGGTCAGACCTCTTTGCAAGAATATAATACACCCGATTTGCAAGCTACCGACCGTGAGGATGCTACAGACCATCGGTTAGTTCTCAGCTCGATGTGCCTTTGTGGATACTTCTTTTCTAGACCATAGCATTGTTTATGTAGCTTATGGCTGCTGGCCTGGATTGTTAGCTCATCAAAGGGCTGTTTGGTGAGCCAACAAAGTGATCATTTGTTCTTGGATTGGTCCCAAGGCTAATTGCCTTAAACGCTTGGAAACAGCTTTGATTTAAAAGAGCGAAAGTTAAATAAGCCAACCCGAGCAAAAATAGGAATGCCAACGCAGTTGCTGTATGATAACTTACCAGTTACTGCTTGGGACTCCTCAGTCAAGTCCTCGATGAATCAGTAGTTACTCCCTTCATTGTACGGCTTCAAACCCACCCCAGCCCCCTCTCTGAGTCATGTTCGACCATGTCTTTCTGTGCAACATGTTTATCTTTTTATATCTGCCCTGCTGGAGAGACCTTCTAGCGCTTTTAATATGCAACTCAGTGATGATGACAATAAGAGCTAGCATTTATATAGTGTTTTACACATATTATCTCATCTGATCCTGTGAGGTAGGTGTTGTTATGCCCATTGTACAAACAAGGAAACTGAGGCTGAGAGAGGTTAAGTGATTTGCCCAGGGTCACAGTACTAGGAAGTTTCTGACTCCGACTCTAGTTATCAGTCTAGTATGCCACCTAGCTGCCCAACACAACTTAATCTTTCTTCCCAATCTTCCCAACTTCTGTGGAAGGGCGTCACCGTCCTTCCAGTTACCCAGCTTCATAACCTCGGATACCATCCTCAACTCAGTTACTCCACATATCCAGTTCCCACATCTTGTTATTTCTATCGCCACTGTTCTCCTAACTCTAACCTTTGTCTCCACTCACATAAACACCACCCCAGCTCAGGCCCTGACCATCTTCCACCTGGAAAATTGAAATAACCTTCTATAATGATCTCCCAGCTTCTATTCTTTCCTCACTTCAATCCATCACCCAGAGATATCTGCCAAAGTGATTTGCCTAAAGTTCAGGTTTATGTGACTCCCTCCTCCATAATTTCCTAGTAACTCTGGGGTCCAATATAAACTACAGTGTTTCAAGTACTTCACAACCTCACCCCTTGCTGTCTGCAGTTTTCTTAGACATTGTGCCCCTCCCAAACACTACAGTCCAGCCATATTGGATTATTTATTCCATGGAAACAGCAACCTATTCCAAATTGCTGTGCCTTTATACTGACTAGCCTATGTGAAATGGCTAAGCCATGCATGGAATGATCTAGAACCTCAGCTCTACCTCTTGGAATCCTTGGCTTCCTTCAAAACTCACCTTAAAGGGGCAGCTAGGTGGCGCAGTGAATAGAGATCTGGCCCTGGATTCAGGAGGACCTGAGTTCAAATCCAGCCTCAGACACAACACTTACTAGCTGTGTGACCCTGGGCAAGTCACTTAACCCCAATCACCTCACCAAAAAAGCAAAAAAAAAAAAAACCCACCACCTCAAGTACCACCATCTACAGAAAGCCTTCCCTGGTCTGTCCCAGCTGCTAGCGTCTTCCCCTCCGAGGCCACCATGTAACTATTTTGTCTCCATCTTGTATATAAGTGTATATGTACATGTTATTTCCCATTTTAGGATGTCACCCCTTGAGAGTAGATGCTGATTTTGCTTTTATTTGTATCCCTTGTCCTGTGTCTGATACATAGAAGGCACTTAATAAATGCATAGTGGTTGAGTGGTTCTGGTTCAAAGTTCCTTATTTGTTACATGAAATAGCTTGTTCTCATCCAGCATACACCTCTCTGTTGGCCTCTGAGACACCCACTCTTTATTCTTCAAAGATTAATTCTTTCAAAAGATGGACCTTTGTTTCCCAGAGAAGTTTGGGGCCATTAAAGGAACTTTGTAATTTCCCAAAGGCAATCCAGTCCATTCTCCTCTTCTTTAAATGTGGGCCCAATATGGCATCCACTTGTACGGTCTGTCTACTATATTGATGGATAAGCTTCATAGGTTGTCATTCCAACTATATATCATAATCTGGATAATAGATTTTCATTCTCTTGGGGGTTTTTTCTGATGTGAACAGTTGTCAAATGCTTTTGAGCCTCTTTTCCAGGAGGCTCTGCACTTTTCTGGGACTACACATAAACGGAATACTGTCGTCTGCAAACAGGAACATCTATCTGGAAGACTTTGCCATCCACATAGACTCCTTCTGTAAGTTGGTCTCTGTGTTGGACCTCCTCCAATATCTTATACCTTGCCTGGTATGCCTGATTAGAGGACAGTCAAAACAAGCTCATTTCAATCATTACATCCTTACATAATTTTGATGTATGGATGGGGGAACTGCTTGTTGGAAAAGAGCCTAGGAGACAGCATTTTGCTCAACAAAATCAACTGTTTGTTTGGTTTTTTATCATTAACAATCAACAAAATGAATAGGATATTATATTCTCTTGGAGAAGGAAATGGCCAACCGCTCCTGTACCTTTGGGATGAAAACCCCCAAATCGGGTCACAAAGAATCAGACCCGACTGAAACAAATCAACAACAACAACATTGTATTCTCTTTGTTTTTCAGTCAATTCTGTGATGGTAAAGATGTGATCTGGCTATGGAATTTCACTTGTGAAAGCCTACCTCTTCCGAACATGTATAGATGATTCTTCTTAAAATTGTATGTGAACAATGGAAGTAGGCACATAAGATAGTGGTTGTGTTTTCTTATGTGCCATTGGCAGGGTATAAATACATCCTAAGATTTTTTGGCATTTTCTCCTTCAGATACCCTTCAGAAAAACCTTTTGTCACCTCGAAGACTTTTTAACACTTGATTTAATACAGCTGTTTTTTCCCATCCTTGTCTCCTTAGTGCCCTTTTTACCTCCTGCATAAGCAAATTGGAAACTATGACTTTACGATCCAAGTGTGATGCCTCCGCTCTCCTTGGTAGAGAAAAAAAAACCTTGTTGCAAAAATTTTTGCAGAAATTTTCCATTTTTCTTCCACTTACTCTCCTCCTTCATATATATCTTGCAATGATGACAAGGCATCCATAAGGATGATTTTATTGGGTTGGGTCTCTCCAAAGCTTTCTTTAAACTAGTTTTACCTTTTCCCTGCTTCTCTCTCTTTTATGAAGTAATGGTACTCCTAATCTAGCCCATCTTTCTCCATAAGATGTTGACCAGTTAAATTATATCCTAAATCCATGTAGGCCTTGGCTCTCCATTTCTCTCCACTTGGCAAATTAGTCAAGTGTTTGCTGACCAGGGCTCTTTTTAAGTCTTTATAGTCTTTATTTATATTAGTTTACATTAGCAATTTATTTATATTGATTAGACTTATGAATGGAAATGTGGTGGTCTGTATCTCTGTCCTGTCTTCCAGTTATATCACATTTTTTCCATCATCAGCTACTTTTTAAAAATAGCTCATATTCACTGAATGTCACATATTTTTATAGTTTTTCTTATTTTTATTTTTCTGACTTTGAACTAATTTGGGTCTTTGCTGTAACAGTTCAGGGGTGTGACTGTACACAAACAGCTGGTTTCAGGAACAACTCCCATTTTCAGTAACTCTGGGCTTTGTACTGGCCATCCCCCATGCCTGAAACACACTCCCTCCATATCTTTACCCCATTGAGCCCCTCTCTTCTTTAAGCTGAAGCATCTTCAAATAGAGCCTTCCTTGACCCTCCCCAAACTATTAAGGCCTTCTCTTCCATAATATCATATAATTAACTACTTTGTGTGAAGATATATGGGCAGCTCAGGGGCACAGTGGATAGACTGCTGGACCTGGAGTCAGGAAGACCAGACTTCGCATCCAATCTCAGACATTTACTAGCTGTGTGACTCTGTTTGCCTCAGTTTCTTCATCTGTAAAATGAGCTGGAGAAGGAAATGGCTAAGAAAACCCCAAATGGGGTCACAAAGAATCACACCAAACTAAAAAACAACTATGCAATGTATTTTAACTTTATAATTACATTTTATATTTTTATATGTATTTGTCTGCCCCACTAGAATGTAAGCTCATCAAAAGCAGGCATTG